TAATTACAAAACTAAATGTAATAAAGCTCTAAATGGAAGCTTTTAAAGCAACATAATATTCTCCATTTGGCATTTTATGAAAAATAGCTGGAAATGGACTATGTAAATTGCACAATAGCCAGCAGACATAAGATTCGCTCTTTAATACTTCATATGCGTGAAGTTGTTCATCATATCCTATATTAAGCCATACTTCACATATAAAGCACACATGTCCAATTTCATTACAGATTATAGTATTAATAGTTCCAAATACTGGTAAATATTGTAAGTCAAGAGAAAGAACTACACAACTGTTGGTGCTGTATTTTATTCCCGTTTTTTCAATCCAAGATACTTCAACGTTTCTAAATTTAAATTCTGTAGGTAAAGAGGGTGAAAATAAATGATATTTATCCAAACATGATATATCACTGATAAGAGATGCTGGTCCCATCAAAACATGTTCTTCTAAATCTTTCTTACACATCAGCCTATAGCATAAATTGAGCTGTTCTTTTACAGCCATAGTATGTAAAATATTTCTTCTTGAACTGGTGCCACTGGCAATTAATTTTAAAAATCGATTTTTTGATTCATATCGTAGACAGTTTAAATGATGAAGTGGGCCAGATTTGAGTAGGATTTGAAAATAATGCAAGATATTATGAAATTTTGGTTTTAATGTATCTGCAAATATTTCTTGATATAGTCTATGATGTTCGGTAGTCAATGTTTCAAGAAGTTTGACTGCTCCCCTCTGGAGACATTTTGCATTCTGGAGATCTACAATCTTCCGTAAAATTATATAATAACTCCATAAATCATCATACTGCACAAGATCACCCACATAAAAAGCAAAGCAAGTAAAGAAAGTCTGTATCTCTGAAGCCGACATTTTTATTTTTCTTTCCTTAACTTCATCCGCTGAAATAAGTGGTGGTTTATTTCTGAATTTATTTCTTTTATAATTAAAACAGTCTATACGCTCATTTAGTGTTCGAAGTGAAAATGTTTTTCTTTTAATAATGTACTCATATACAATATGGCCCATTCCATATTTTAACACTCCGAGCTTAACATCATGTAAAATATCAGAAGAATAGTTAGAATAAATATTAAAGTATTGAACTTTACTCCAAACAGATAATTCTTTAATACCAGTTACGGAAGGATTCATTACTGATACATCATCCATATAGTGTTCAGGTTTTCGTTGTAATTCTGGCTGTATTTTGCAGTCTAACTCCATCTGTGGTCTAGAAGCTTTGCAAAATCTACAGTAATGATTTGCTCTAAAAGAGCTTACATAACCTAAAGCAGAATTTAGAGCTAAATTGTCCCCAAGCAACAATCCCAAAGCAAAATAAATTGTTATTTTAGAACCATTTATTTCAAATGTAATGCCTTCGTTCTGCAAATAATTTATTTCATCCACTACAATTTGAAAAATACTTTCATTGGAATATGTATCTCTATCTGAGGAATAAAAGAGGAGGCATAAAAATATATTTTCTAGTTTTGCCGTGTACTCTGGCGGGATGCAAGGAATTGAAAAATATACTCCTCCCACTTTCTGGATTCCAGCATGACTACCAAGCGGATTATTGACTTCAAAATCGTCATAATACAAAAAAATTGGTAGCACATCTTTACCAACAAAGTATTTAGATTCTTTTTCTCTCCAAATCTCTCCTTGAACAAAATTCGATAAATCTTCTTGAATTTTTAATTGTTTCACGTATTCTATAGTTTTTTGAAGAACTCCGGGAAGACTAAAAAA